AATCTATTGTTACTCACTTTAACCCGGTTTAGAATTGCTCATATTTTATTCTTTAGTGCAGACTAAACTGTAATTTGGACAATTCTTGTCTGTCCTCATTAAACATATTTGCCCATACTTTAATATAAGTTGATTATATTCAAAGCATAAGAGAAAAAGATATACTCTTCTTGCTATTTCTTCCACAGTGTAGGTAGAAGATTATGTTGCTATTTATCTGTGCTACTGTGCTTCTCTATCTCTGTGGCTACTATTCAAGTGTGGCATGCATTCTTTATCCATATAGAATGGGGGTGGCTTGCAAGTGATGAAAAACAGTTTCTTTTACGCAAATATCCATCTTTGTTAATGCTGTCAAACAGCAACTGTGACATCCAGGGAATACATGTCGCTCTGTGGGTTACTGATAATGTAATCTAATTTCAAAAAATACATTAAATGCATCTTTTCATCTGCAACCATCAGATGTATGTAAGCTAAAGAAAGTTAACATGTTAGAGACAATACATGTGAATTTGCGTGGCTAAATAGGGAATTGCTCAGTATGCTCAAGTGGAAGAGGAGAGTTTACAGGTCATGGAAAGAAGGGCTGGCCACTTGGGAAGAATATAAGGCTGCTGCTAGAGGATGTAGGAAAGCTGCTAGGATGACTAAGGCCTCCTTGGAATTAAAGCTGGCGAGAGGGGTCAAGGACAGCAGAAAGAGCTTTTTCAAATACATGGCAGGTAAAACTAACACCAGAGGCAATGTAGGCCCGCTGATGAACGGGACGGGTGCCCTGGTGACAGAAGATACAGAGATGGCAGAGTTACTGAATGCCTTCTTTGTCTCTGTCTACTCTGCTGGAGGCAGTCCTGAAGAGCCCTGTACCGCTGAGACCCCGGATGAAGATAGGTCAACGGAGCGGTCTGCCTTAGTCAATGAGGAATGGGTTAAAGACCAGTTGAGCAATCTGGATATCCATAAATCCATGGGTCCAGATGGAATGCACCCGCGGGTGCTGAGGGAACTGGCTGAGGTCATTGCTAGACCGCTCTCCATCATCTTTACCAAGTCTTGGGAAACGGGAGAGGTGCCTGAGGACTGGAGGAAAGCAAATGTCACTCCTGTCTTCAAAAAGGGCAAGAAGGAGGACCCGGGTAACTATAGACCGGTCAGCCTCACCTCCATTCCTGGGAAAGTGATGGAACACCTTATCCTTGGTGCCATCTTAAGGCATATCAAGGATAAGAGGGTTATGAGGGGCAGTCAACATGGCTTCACCAAGGGGAAGTCGTGCTTGACCAATCTCGTAGCCTTTTATGAGGAAATAACACGGTGGATGGATGATGGCAGAGCGGTGGATGTGGTCTACCTCGACTTCAGCAAAGCGTTTGACACGGTCTCCCACAGCATCCTTGCGGCTAAATTGAGGAAGTGTGGTCTGGATGATCGGGTAGTGAGGTGGACTGTGAACTGGCTGAAGGAGAGAAGCCAGAGAGTTGTAGTCTATGGGGCGGAGTCTAGTTGGAGGCCTGTATCTAGTGGAGTGCCTCAAGGGTCGGTACTGGGACCAGTATTATTTAATATATTCATCAACGATTTAGATGAGGGAATTGAGTGTACTATCAGCAAGTTTGCTGATGACACTAAGCTGGGAGGAGTGGCCGACACGCCAGAAGGCTGTGCTGCCATCCAGAGGGACCTGGACAGGCTGGAGAGCTGGGCGGGGAATAACTTGATGAAATATAACAAGGGAAAGTGTAGAGTCCTGCATCTGGGCAGGAACAACCCCAGGTTCCAGTATAGGCTGGGGAACGACCTGTTAGAGAGCAGTGTAGGGGAGAGGGACCTGGGGGTCCTGGTGGACGACAGGGTGACCATGAGCCGACACTGTGCCCTTGTGGCCAAGAAGGCCAATGGCATCCTGGGTTGTATTAGAAGGGGGGTGGTTAGTAGGTCGAGAGAGGTCCTCCTTCCCCTCTACTCTGCCCTGGTGAGACCTCATCTGGAATATTGTGTCCAGTTCTGGGCCCCTCAGTTTAAAAAGGACAGGGACCTGCTGGAGAGAGTCCAGCGCAGGGCAACTAAGATGATTAAGGGAGTGGAGCATCTCCCTTATGAGGAAAGACTGAGGGAGCTGGGTCTCTATAGTTTGGAGAAGAGGAGATTAAGGGGTGACCTTATTAGTGTATATAAATATATAAAGGGGGAGTGTCACGAGGATGGAGCCAGGCTCTTCTCAGTGGCAAACAATGAAAGGACAAGGGGTAATGGGTACAAATTGGAGCACAAGAGGTTCCACTTAAACCTGAGAAGAAACTTCTTCTCAGTGAGGGTGACGGAACACTGGAACAGGCTGCCCAGGGAGGTTGTGGAATCTCCTTTGGAGACATTCAAAACCCGCCTGGACACGTTCCTGTGTAACCTTATCTAGGTGTTCCTGCTCCGGCAGGGGGATTGGACTAGATGATCTTTTGAGGTCCCTTCCAATCTCTAACATACTGTGATACTGTGATACTGTGAATTTGTTAGAAGCATCAATGGCTAATTTTAAAAGTAAACCTTTGAGTTTGCCTCATTTTCTGATTGATTAACATTGCTGAAGATTCTGATGATGGTATCATACATTGCTGCAGAAACTTCAACAGATAAAATATTTGAGCTGAAGGACTGTTACTTATTTCAAACAATGCCTTTAAAATACTTACGAGCAATTTTTGCAAGGTCTTTTTCAGGAAACCCTTATGTATAGTACCTGTAAACATCACTTTTTATGGAGTGTTAACAAATGCTACACTTTGTTTTCACGAGTTTCTTTGATTTGGTTATCTTCCATGCCACCACAAGTAAATTTAACTAAATTGAGGAGAAAACGCAATGCAGTGGCATTTGTGATGTTAATAGGCGAGGTACCACGATACATACTGAACTCTTCCCTAGCATTTACTACTATATATACATATATCTTTTTTTTTTAGGTGTTATTAATGTGTATTTAAGTTGAGAAGATGAGTAATAGATCTGTTCATAGGGAAGTGCCACAACAGTTATGTCAATCCTTTTAATAATGTAAGACATGAGAGAGGACACCTTCATCTTCCATATACCCTTCAGCAGCTTGATGTTACGGGAGGAATTTCCAATCAAAGCCAAGACAGTTTTATGCCTCCTTCCTGAAATATATGCTTCTGCTGTAAGTTTGCCAAAGTCTGGATGGCATCAGCAAACTCACTCTGCTTTTCTCTAGATCTGGTACATCAGATATTTTTTTGTCAAACCAGGCAAATGGTGGTGTTTCTAGGTATGAAGAGGAATCATAGAACCACAGAATCAACTAGGCTGGAAAAGACCTTTAAAATCATCAAGTCCAGCCTTTACCGCAACACTGACAAGTCCACCACTAAATCATGTCGCTAAGGGCCTCTGATGGCTTCTGTAAGCTCTATTAGCTGTGGAAGTGTACCTGAAGATAGTTCAAATTCTACATCATCTACCCACTAGAGAGCAGTGAAGTCAGGCCCTGCCCATCCAGCTCTGGGGCAACAATACAAGAGGGATGTGGAGCTGTTGGAGCAAGTCCAGAGGAGGCCACAGAGATGCTGTGAGGGCTGGAGCAGCTCTGCTCTGGAGACAGGCTGAGAGAGCTGGGCTGGTTCAGCCTGAAGAAAAGGCTTCTTAAAGGGAGACCTTAGAGCAGCTTCCAGTGCCTAAAGGGGCTACAGGAAACCTGGAGAGGGGCTTTGGACAAGGACCTGTAGGGACAGGACAAGGGGAATGAATGGCTTTAACCTGACAGAGGGAAGATTTCGATGAGCTCTTAGACAGAAGCTCTTCCTGTGAGGATGGTGAGGCCCTGGCACAGGTTGCCCAGAGAAGCTGTGGCTGCCCCATCCCTGACAGTGTTCAAGGCCAGTTTGGATGGGGCTTGGATTAACCTGGTCAAGTGGAAAGTGTCCCTGCCCATGACAAGGGGCTAGAACTGGATGACCTTTAAGGTCCATTCTAACCCAAACCAGTCTGGGATTTTATGATTCTGCTTTGCTTCTCTTAAGATAACACATTTTTGAAGCACCCTTAATGTCTTCTTTCACTTGCCTCAAACTGTTACGTTGAAGATTTTTTATCTTGATCTAGCTTTGCACAATTATACTTTAGTTGATACTGTTTTGTATGTGCAGCTGAGCTATTTTTTCCTCTAACACAATAGAAACATCCATTTTCTGTTGTTTCTGCTAAATGTGGTAGAACAAATGTGTTCAGACCTCTTGAATATCCTATAAAACATCCCCATTGGAGAAAGAAATACAACTGTTCATTATAGATCCTGTCCTTTAATCTCATTGAATCATTGAAAAAACTTATTTAATTGAAGGACTCTTTTTTATTATTAAGAACATGGTGAGCCCTGTAGGGGAAAATTTGTGGACTAGTTTTCATCTTTCTGGTACATAGAAGCATTATAGAGAGGCATTTGAAGTTCTGCTTTAAATAAAAGGTAGTTAATGTTCATTTGTTTTGTCAGTAATGTTTATGTTGTTGTATTACTGCTGTGGGTACCAGAATAGGGCAGATGACAAGAACATGTTAGCAATACTGTTAGGTTTTCAGTTCCTGCAATTCTACATTACATCCAAAATGCCTTTTATATAAAACCTGTGATTGCACCCTTATACTACTGATCTCTGATCTGTACAAGAGCAGGTTATTGCTGTATCATGTTAAACTCGCTGCATGGCATCTCTTTTCCTGCACGTTAGAAAGTATATCAGTGCTTGTGCCCTGTGCCTTTTGAATGACAGTTGACCATTAAGACATATTAGTTGTATAAATAATTGGTGTATAGATTATTCCACGTATTTGACAGTTCTTCTTGTGTCAGTTTTATTGTATTGCTTTAAACTGGAGGTCTCTAAAGGTATTTTCTTTTGCTTGTTTAGTATGTGTTCAAGTTTATTGGAGTAAGGTTTTGTGATCTTTCTAGTACAGGTGAAGTAACTCATTCTTCCCTTGTGTCCTAGTTCAGACTTGGATCTCTGAAGCTACAGAAGATTTTGAGTCCAGCAGAGGTGGTTAAGGAGCTCATTGGCTCCTGTCTGGACTGTCTGGGAAGACTGCAGGCAAAAAACGAGCATCTGCAAAAGGAGAATGAAAGGCTTCTCAGCTGCTGGAGCGATGCAGAGAAGCGGTAAGTTTAAAAGTGCAGTCAGAAGGGATCCTTGAGAAACCTACAAATACTTATACTGTCAGTGTGGACTTTGCTGATGAGCACTTTTGAAGTCATACATAGAAAGGAGCACAGAAGTTTTTCTTCTTTGACAAGACTTTTGAGCCCATCTATCTACTGTCCATGTAGTTGTCTATCTCCTTCCTATGTCAAAGATACAACTGGTGTTACAATTTGCAACTAAAGTTGGTTTTACCCTTATAAAGTAGAAAAAAAGATAATTACCTCTTTTCTGTAGAATCCTCTCCAGTTTCTTCATGAAGCCTTTTGCTTTCCATTATTCCTTGCAATACTTGGGACTAGCAGTTTAAAATATTTATATTTTTTACTGGGAAATAAGTTGCCATTGCTTTAATCTGTTTGCCCTATCAAAGTAGCCAGAATTGGAAAGCCAATGTGTTGTTACAGGAAAAAGTACCATTATTTTGTGAGAGAGTTTTGTAATTGTCATTGCATTTATGATTTGAATTGTCTGCTACTGCACTCTGTAGTGAAGTAATTTTTGCTTATTTCAGTTAGCATAAAACACTTAGCATATGCAAGTCAGAGATTTATCTCAGTTTTCCAATAACTTTATATGAAAAAATACATTTAGGAACATTGATGAAAGAATGTAGCTAATTTGCGTTAATTTACCTTGATAAAGAGAGCTAACTTTTGGGAGGAGTTAGTTTTGTTTCCCTGTCATTAAAATGAGTTTCCCCTGACAAGCATAAGGCTTTCCTAAATGGTGTTTTACTGCTTAACAGTTTACTGAACAATAGCGTATTGTATAACCAGTATGCTGTACTGCATTACAGGCTAATGTGTAATAGGCATTAATGCTTGTATCAATTTCCATGGTGGTGTGGCATTTTTAAAGAGATAAAAAAAAAATAAATCAGAGTTGCCTGACAGCCTTTGCTCTCAGAAGCAGTGTATTCAGTCTGCTAAAGGTGGTGGTTTTCTTTAGTATCTTTGTTTTGAATAGCTAAAACATGATTTTTCAAAATAAATGCTGGAAGTTGGAAGGTCACCAAACTTTGTCCGTGTTTGCTAAATGCCGAATAGAAATAATTTTTATCCAAACTTTAGCTTTTTTGGTTTCATGGGTCTTTTTTTTTTTTTTTTGTTGTTGCTCTGTTTTTGTTCTGTTGGTTGGTTTTGGTTTTTTTTTTTTTTTTTGTTTGGTTGGGTGTTTAAAATTTTGTGTTTAAAAATTCTTTTTGCCTGCTGTCTTTGCTCTTTCGGCTCCAAACGCTGGACCTGGTGTTGTGAGTTTCTCAGAGCTGAGCAAAAGCTCTGCCTGTCTTTGTTCAGTAGGCATGATTTCAGGCTTCATGTTTAGTATCACTCATGATGTTGGATGATAAGACGTCATATATATAGTATGTGATGCGAAGAATTGTGTCCCCTCTTCACCCAGAGCTAATGCACATCAGCTCTAGAGTTTCAGCTGCTACAGTTCACTTTGCTTAAAATCCCTTTCTTCAGGACCTCATTAGAATTAAGTGCAGACTTCCAAGATCTGGTTTAGTTCAGGTTGTGCATAGGGCACTGGATGGAATAATTCAATCATAGAATCATAGAATACTTAGGGTTGGAAAGGACCTTAAGATCATCTACTTCCAACTCTCCTGCCATGGGCAGTGACACCTCCCACTAAGCCATACACCTAAGGCTCTGTCCAGCTTGGTCTTGAACACCTCCAGGGAGGGAGCATTCACAACTTCCCTGGGCAACCCATTCCAGTGCCTCACCACCCTAACAGGAAAGAACTTCTTCCTTATATCCAATCTAAACTTCCCCTGTTTAAGTTTTAACCCATTACCCCTTGTTCTATCATTACAGTCCCTAATGAAGAGTCCCCCCCTCAGCATCCCTATAGGCCCCCTTCAGATACTGGAAGGCTGCTATGAGGTCTCCACGCAGCCTTCCCTTCTCCAGGCTGAACAGCCCCAACTTTCTCGGCCTATCTTCATACGGGAGGTGCTCCAGTCCCCTGAGCATCGTCATGGCCCTCCTCTGGACTTGTTCCAACAGTTCCATGTCCTTTTTATGTTGAGGACACCAGAACTGCACACAATACTCTAGCTGAGGTCTCACAAGAGCAGAGTAGAGGGGCAGGATCACCTCCTTCGACCTGCTGGTCACACTGCTTTTGATGCAGCCTTAAGGATGCAGTTGGCTTTCTGGGCTGTGAGTGCACACTGAAGCTGGCTCATGTTCATTTTCTCATTGACCCACACCCCCAAGTCCTTCTCCCCAGGGCTGCTCTGAATCATCACATTTCAGTTTCCCTACTCTTAATTTTGTTGACCATCATGAAGGTTTTTTGAGATTTTTCCTGTAGCTCTCTGGGGTCCTTTGAAGTGCAAACCTGTCCTGCTTTCCATTCTGTCTGTAAAATGCCAAGCAAGTCTCATTCAGGAGGCTAAATCTGCCTAGTACAAAGTCTGTAGGGTGAATACCAGCCGTGACAGGCTGCTGGCATTTGCCTCAATGTACCCGAGATAATCTGCTTGGCTTCAAATAGTTTGCTGTTGGCAACCCTGTGCCAGACACAGAAATGGCTTCTACTGCTTCCCTCTGCAATTCTGGTTTCTGTGAAGATGAAAGGAAAGAGCAGGCCAAAATTCCCTGTGAAGATAAAACCCTTGTAACTCCCTTAATTTTTATCATCTTGCTTATTGTGATGACTTAAGTATAGGATTTTGTCTGTCTAAACATTTCCCTGCCTCCATCAAATGACCCATACATAGCCGACTAGTGTGAGAGTTATTGACTAGCTAGACTGTTCAGCACTTGATCTAAAAACATAAGATAAAAATTACCAAGGCACTGTCTGGAAGAATGTACCATCCCTAGGAGTGTTCAAGGCCATGTTGGATGGGGCTTGGAGCAGCCTGGTCCAGTGGAAGGTGTTCCTGCCTGTGGCAGGGGGTTGGAACTGGATGATCGATAGATAGAGAGGTTATGGAAATTTTCAAAAGGATTATTCTGAAAACGCTGCCTGTGGGTGCCTGGGGCAAGTGTGTGTGTGCACACCTCTGACATGGAGGAGTTAAAATACCAGAGCAGAATAGCTATTGTTTTTATCTAATATAGGTAATTCAGTAATAATAATCTGTAGCAAAATAAATCCTTGGCCAATAAGACACAAGTAAAATTTCTGATTTGGGTGTGGTATGTGTTTTGTATCAAATATCTAAAATTAGCGTAGACAAGCCAAAATCAAAATAGCTGCTAATTTACGTTGTGGTCAACTTAGTGACAGAATATTTAAACCACAAACAGCTTATAAAAATCCGGGCTAGGTAGTTGTGGTACTTGAAATTGACTCTTCAGCATTAGCTCATCAAAATTCAATACCATTGCCAGTTCTGGGGGAAGGGTGAATCCAAAGCATAATAGAGCTTTGCCATAAGACCAGAAATTATTTTAGAGGACTGAGGACAAGGATAAATAGCAGAGATGCTGAATTTTTTCTTTCCGGTATTGGATGAGGAAAATGTATAAATGCCTTAAGTTACACAGTTCAAGTTATTCTTTATAAAGCAAATGTGATTGCTCTACGTTTAGGCAGGACTTAGGAGCCGGGTAGTTACCTTATTTTCTAAATTACCTTATTTTCTCGAAAATCATAACCATTACTATTGCTAGCTGCTTTCAGTAAGTAGTGCAAGCTTTCTGGTAGCTATAAATTTGGGCACATCTGGCATGTTGAAAGCATTGCACTGAGATAACAGATCTAAGAGTATAGAAATTGGAAGACACATGCAAATAAGACTTGCGCCACTCTAACCATTAACTTCTGTTTATTTTTGTTGTACTTGAAATTTGTCTTTGAGATGAGCAGATTCTTCATTTGGCCTGGGGAGGTGGTTCTTTAGTGAGACAAATTACGTACATGCACAAGCATGTGGCAAATTGCATTTAAGTTTGTATTTGTAACTGATCAGGTATTGGAATGAAACCTATCCAGTTTTGCTTGGTGGTAGTGAGATTCAGGTAATTCTATAGGATTTGGTACAGACAGGATTTTGCTACAGACAGATATCATTCCCCATTTTACACAAAATCCTTATTCACCATTTTTATGTATATAAACATACTTAGTTTCAAGCATATTTGGGCACTTCTAGAAACTGTATTAGGGTTTATGATTCTTTGAGGACTGTCTCCTTATTCCCTACTAAACAGTTAAGTTTTGTAGGTGGAATGCCTCCTAGTATTTGATTAGTACATATTATCTTTCATTTATGAATTATTGAACCGATCTATATGGTAATGATGTTCTGCTATTTGCATTTAAATTAGATGAATTATTTATCAAGTATATCCCTAAAGCATTACACAGTAGACTTACTACTTCGTGCCATTATTTTCTATTCTCTTTCTTCTTACATCATGGTTTTGATTGATGAACAAAATAATATTTTGTTTTAATTAATATTAAGATAGGAAGTCTGTTGAAATTTCTAACCTTATAACTTAATATTTTTAAAATCTGGTTTGTGTTTAGATTTTATAACAAAGGGAGCATTCTAAAGTTTTTTACACAGACTGGTAAAAAGAATGTTTTTCATGTTACGACTGTTTGCTGTTATACTGTAGTTACCATGATCAATATATTGATATACTTCAAGATGTTTATTTGCTTGTTATGAACACAGGTGTTAAAATGTTTGTGGTTCAACCCAAGGACTAAAAAAGTTACGAAATACAAGAAGTCAGTGTAGGATCTCAGTTGCAACCAGTCACTTCTTTTATTGTGCTATGTTTGCTTATATTCCAGTCTTCCTTTATTTAAGAGACTGCATACATCCATATTCTTTATTTTGTACTTCCATTATGGTTTTTTTATTGATACTGACCAACATGTTAATGTTAGCCCTTTAAAACCTGAAGAATATTATACTCTGAAGATACTAAGGACTTTTAAGACATTTTTATATATATTCTAAGTATCGAGTCCTCTTCCAAGTAATTGTGATTAGTTCAGTGGGGGCTGCAGGTGTACCAGGATCTCAGCCCTGTATCTGTGCAACTCAAAATGAAGTTTGCAGCACTGTTATTAGCACTGAATTTGCCTGAATGCAAGTAAAGGTTACAGTTTCCATCAAGTGTTGCTGCAGTGTCTGCTGAACTTTGCCAGGAGCTGATTCCTGTGCCTTGCCAGCTCACCAGAACAACACACACAAGGCTGTTGGTGGAAAACAGCCAGGCAAAGATCTGTAGCACCCAAGTCTGCCTGGGGAGTCCTGCCAAAGAAAGAGTTCTAAATCTGTCCTAGAATCACAGACTGATTTGGGTTGGAAGAGATCTTAAAGCTCATTCAGTTCCCACCCCCTGCGGGGACACCTTCCACTAGACCAGGTTGCTCCAAGCCCCATCCAGCCTGCCTTTGAACACTGCCAGGGATGGGGCAGCCACAGCTTCTCTGGGCAACCTGTGCCAGGGCCTCAGCACCCTCACAGGGAAGAAGTTCTGTCTAAGAGCTCATCTCAATCTCCCCTCTGTCAGGTTAAAGCCATTCCACCTTTTCCTGTCTGTGTCCTACTAAGGTATACCCACTTTGGTGAATTTAGCATTGAAACTCAGATGCAAGATGTTGGACAAGTCCTGCATGGATTGGTATGGGGTTTCCTGTAATACGAAAGCTGGTCTCATTACAGAATTTTCTTCCAGAAAACACAGAATTTTAAAAAGAAATAATGTAACAATTAATTTTACATTGTAGGCTAGAAAAATGTGTGGTGGCTAAAGAAGAACTAGAGGCAGATCTCTATAACCGTTTTATTTTGGTGCTGAATGAAAAGAAGGCAAAGATAAGAAACTTACAGAAGTTGTTGAATGAAGCCAAAGAATCTGCAGCAGCTGCCAAATATACAAGGTATTTCTTAATGTTCCCAAGTTACTTGGTATCACACCTAATGCATAATTTACTTTAGCTTAGTTTCCATTCCCTTGACTCTAGCAGTGACTGCTCTTTCTGGCTAAGTGCTTAGTTATCCAAAACAGTAGCTGGTCATGGAAGCAGAGGACTCTTTATCACTGCAAATAGCAATATACTAATTTGGATGCTGTAGCCACAAACTAAATATTCAATTAATCTCTCCTTGTTTCTGGTAGGATGCAAGTGATTTTACAATCAGAGCATGTCCCTGCCATTTCTGTAGGTGGTAATTTCATCATTCTCCCTGAATATTTGGATTCCTTTTGTCCTTTGGGGAAAAAATGCCAAACCTAAATTTAGAAAAATTTATGTAGTTTTTATTTAAAAAATATCCAGAGAAGAGGAATCATTCTAATGCTACTACGTGCCTTAATTTATTTGCTGTTTTTATCTTGTTTTTTAACTTTTTAACAACTTTTATTGTCTGTCCTTGTATATGAGTATTATAAGCTGTTCAGTATGAGGACTATGTTGACATATATCAGTTTACGTTGCCTAATAATTATAAATTCTTATCAAGAATAATAGATAGACAAGATGTGCTCGGTTGTGTTTTGTTGTTGTTTTTGTTTTTTTTTTCCTAGGGATACTATAGCTACTACTCAGATGGTCACAGGGGGAGAAAATGAATATGATGGCAGCACTGATGAGGAAAGTGAAAATTTAACACAGCCCTCATTACCACCAGGTAGGACAGAATGTACTGTCTTTCGGAAATATCACAGACAACCCAATCACTTTGTGTGAGTAAACCCTAATGAAGACAAAATGCTACCTGACAAATTGACAAATTGACAATTGCTCTGTGACAAGCGACCTGCAAGCCCTAAAAATATCTCTTCTAGAGTAGAGTATAATGCTGGCATTTTCAAATTTGAGAGAGGAAGACTAAAAGCATCTTGTAGAAGTGAAGGCACTGTCATTTCTTCCAAAATGACAAATTGCATACTTCGCAGAACTAATGACAGTCTTAACAGTATCTGAACCATCCAGAATTACATTTTGAATTCTAGGAATCATGATGTGTGTGCAGTGATTGCTAAAATGTACTTCCTGACAGTTTCAATGGTGCTTAAAAAGGGGAAAGAGAGGAGGTTTAACAGCTATGAAAAGAGCTGTATACCAAAACGGAATAAAAATGTATTTAAAGCAAAACTAATTTTGTCAGTGAATTTTTGCCCTCATGAAGATGCTCATGAAACTTGATTTGACTAATTTTTCCTTGAGTAGAGACTTGTAAAGTGTATGGGATACAGCAGTTTCCCATTATACAACACCAGATATTTAACTGTAAGTTGTAATTTTGGCAAACTACTAGGACCATGCAGGACAAATGCTATCAAAGTTTTAAAATTGCATTACTGTAGGGTTGTGTATATATGCATATATATTAATTTCCCTTCAAGTCTGCAAAGTTTGCTGTGGGTTCTCTCACTGGAGCCTTTTATTTCCACCATAGGTAAAGGTTATCAAGACAACTTGTCACAGCATTTTCGTGTGCATACTGGGGACCAGAAGTGTTCAGCACCCTGATACCAGTGTCATTCAGCTTTATATCTCATTATCCTGTTGAGGATTTTCTGATATAGTAGTATTCATTATTCAGATATAAAGTAGTCACTGCCAGAAAATGGAGAAAGTTTCAGTCATGGAAAGAAATAATTTTATATTGTACTGTGCTTTTTTGTTCAGACATCTTTGTTTTCAAGTGTGTTTGGTCTGGGGAGAAATTCTTGACATTTAGTGAAAAGGCAAGGAAAAGTGAATAGTGTTCATTCCTTTGCTACATTCAGTGGGACTTAGCTAGGTCAGTGAGAGTTTTGAGGTAAGACAAGTTTTCATTTTAAAATAAAAACAAATGCCCACTGCTCTTCTCAGGCAATCTGGACTCATGAATATTTTAGAAGGAAAAATAGCAGCTGTATTTTTATTTGAATTGTAAGCAAAAATGTGCTTTCTGTTCCATTTGAGGGATACAGAATTCCCTTTGAAGATTTTGAGAATGAGTAGAGAGTTCTTTCAGCTGCAAAATTTGCAAGTAATGTGAAGACTATAAACTTAATCCTTTGGGTGACACACTCCAGTGTTTCAAGGTAAAGGCATTCTTGAACCTGCACAATGAGTATCACTTGCATCAGTTGATTAGGTCAGCTGTGTACACTCTTCCTGTATACACAGCTTTGTCTTTACATGAACAATAAGGACAGATAGGAGCTGAGTATCTTCAGTAGAATTTTCACATGCATAAAGAGGTCTTAGGCAAACTGTGTCTCTATGAAGAAGATAGTAGCTTAGGGGTGAGTGGCCTGAGCAGAAAGTGAAGCTCATGGCTACATCAAGCATCAGGGTTTGTGAAGCTTAAAACATAATGCAGATAATGTTTGGTTTTTTTCCTGTTTATCTTAATTTTCCAGTCTCTTACTCCAACGTTACATTTCTTTTTCTGTTGGATTTAGAATGTCATTGTGTGAGTTTGCATGTGTCAATGAGAGTTAGAAGATCTTTGAGAATGTTCTAGTAGTTATTGGTGAAAGCCACAATCAAGAAAGAAGATCGTAATTAAGAAACTACTGTGAAGGAAAGTGAAAGCAAGTGCGTATATGCATGCATACACACATAAAAAGTGTGCATTTGTGTATGTGCATGTCCAAAATTGAAAAAGCAGGAAGCTAATGCTGGTGGTCATAAATGAAAAGTAGGAACTGCAGGAGATGGGCAGAAACCTGTAAAATCTAGACACTTTGAAACCAGCCAGTTAGGATATGTTAAACTGCAGAAATTAAAAAGCTGGCTGAGGATTTTTCTTAACCACCCATAATTGTTTTTCTTCAAGAATTTTTGGGACACTGAGGACGTTCCAGGGGGCTTAATTAAAACTGCTAATATTTAGAAAAAAAATACAAGAAAAAAATACACATTCAGTTATGGGTGTATTAGTTGGTGTTGATTTGATGCAAGTATTGGAACAAAACTCCATTAAAGAAAAATACAAAGAGAAAGAGTAAAAATGGTTAATTACAATCTTTGTAAAGGTGCAGAAAATAGAGGTTCAAAACTAGGTACTCATGTCTTCAGTGATGAAATTACCAGGTGGCTGGTGAAGGTAAAATCAGTAAAGTAATTGACTGATTTCCATAAGATACATTGCAAAATTATGTCAGTTTAGATGATGGTCTTTCTGTCATGCTGAGGTAGGTGTTTAAGGACCTTGAATAACTGGAACTTAACATTAGGCAAAGACAAAAGTGGGACAGGTTAGACAGGGCTTGGGGCAATCTGGTCTAGTGGGAGGTGTCCCTGCCCATAACAGGGGATTGGAACTGGATCAGCTTTAAGGTCCCTTCCTATTCAATGGTTTTATAATTACTCCTGATGGCTGGAACAGTTTGGAGTGGGTTATGATGGGTTGCCTCATTGCCAGCATGGAAATCACAATGGCGTGCTTTTAATAAAAAGACAAAAACCTGTTCATATAAGCATGAACTTAAAAGAAGTTCACAGCTGATGTCATGTTGGGGGTTGCAGATGACTCTTTCTACGACAGCTTTTCCTCTGTAACATCGTATGAACTCCAGAATGAAACCAATTCTTGTGTCTCCTACAAAAATGAATTTACTCATATACAAATACTCAGCAAGGCTGAGTATTTAACTTCAGGTAACTTTTGCACAGAAGTCATTTCCCTACAATGGCTGTTAAGCTGTAATCTAAAAGCTTACCTAAAAATTGAAGGGTTTGGCACTGACAGTACCATTTGTAGATATGATTTATGGTTTGGTTTTTGACAGCAGTTTCTACTTCAGAGCTTAAAGCCAAAATCAACTGAAACGTGGTAGGTTTTGTCTCTAATCTACACACTTGCAAGAGAACAAATTAAAATGGAATTAGGTATTTTAGTGTAGAGCACTCAGTAAAACAACTGATGTATAGGAAAAGTACAACATTTAGAAACAGTACAACTTTTATAAGCAATACTTTGTGTCTTTCTATACAACAGCTTTGTGCATCATGCCATAAGGATGAGGAAATTTATTTAGACTTATGAATGTAAGATTTATACACACACAACTTCCCCTTTCACTGCAGTTTAAAATATTCCTAAGCAGCAGCTATATATATGATATGGCAGGTCATTGTAAATGCCTGTAGTCTCTTGTCTGAGAGAGTTTCTGAAGGACAGGGAGGAAATCCTATTAAGCAGTTCATGAATGGGGAGGTATGAATGTTTCTTAGGAGCATGGGGGAGGTTGCTTTTGGTTTGGTTCGTCATTTATTTTACTTCAGGGTTGGTATAATTCTGTCTAAGCCACCAAAACCAGATATAGTTGTTTCTTTTGCTACTAGTACTTCAACAAAGTTCCAGGTACTTTTAAGGCAGCTCATACTTGAGACTGTTTCTGTATTGTCTCATTATTTCATTCCTCCTGCATCTAGTTGCACCTCGTCTTGCACTTCAACTCTTTAACCAAGTATCTGATATTTTCTTTAGCTTGACTGTTGTCTTTCATTTTTAGGATCCTCATTTTTGGTTGGAACCACTAGGTCCTGTGATAGTAGAATGATACACATACACAGAGATGAGAAGCACATGGAACAGGCTTGGAAAGATTACAGAGATATGTTGAGAGATGTAATTTTTTTTCATAGAATCATAGAATAGTTAGGGTTGGAAAGGAACTTAAGATCATGTTCTCTTACCAGCAGGACCCGCTTGTTGGGTTGGGTTGTTTTTTTCATTATTTTAAAAAGGCTGGAAATTGCAAGTCTGTATTTCTGTTAGCCCACAAGGGTGACTTGGAACTAAACGTAATACCACCACATTGATGGAGTAAGTTTCTGTTATTTTAGAGTGTAGAAACCCTTATTCTGATTAAAGACAATCCAGAATGCAACACAATGGTTATGCTTCCTCACTCTTCTGCTCAGTGCTGAATTTTACTGTTATTATTTACTCTAGCTATTTCTCCTGGGGGACACAAAATGCCAGTAAGATTATCAAAGAAAATATGATTTGATGTCATAATTAGCAATTGTGTCCTTGCCATACAAATGGAAACCTTTTATTGATTGAAAAATACATCGGTGGTCCATGAGCGAGGAAGCATTTAGGATAGGAAAGTATTGGATAAACATTCACCCTTTCTGTTTCCTTCCTAGAAGCTTCAAAGATAGGTGAAAGGTAATAGTTTCCCTCTTTGCAGTGTTTGGAAGACGCCCAAAGAAGACAAGGTTATTCCTCTTCCCAGGTATATGACAGAACTGCAGGAAAAGATATAAAATACTGAAATCTATCATAGGTATGAAGGGTAATATAGCAGATAAGAGAAAACCAATGAAAGAAATGATTTTACAATTTATTATGTTTAGTTATAATGCTACTGCAAGTGGATGCTTGTAGACAAAACAAGGTTACTGGCCACCAATTTACAGTCAGCTTGCTTCCTTTCTAGTTTATTTTCTCTTACCCATGAATTCCATAGTCATATTTCACATTGAAATGAGTGGAATTTGCTGCTCCTTGGGGTGAGGAAGGGTCTTGTGATCTGGCCTGTTGTATTAAATGAAATTTTATGTTCTGTGTTTCTCACCACACATATGGAGAGAAACCTAATATTATTAACTAAAATCTAAATTTAGAAACTAAATCCACACTTAATATTCCATATTAAGTGAATCCTTAGACTTCCAATGCTCATCCTTTTCTATGTGTTTGATGATGAGGACAGGTTCAGAATTGTTTCTAATAAACTGGCTGTGATGCCCAAAATAAATAAGAGCAAACACCTTACCATTTTCTACTGGTTTACTATGCAAATGTTCTCGTCCCGTTCATTCAAGTTCCTGCCTTGGGGATCATATATTGTGCCTTCAGGAGGCTATGACCCTTTAAATTTAATTAGCTCTCTTGTGCAGACCAGACCACTGGTGGTTTGATGCTGGTGGTTTATAAGCTTCTTCAACGTTATTAAAAAAAAACCCAAGCCTATTAGAGCATCTTATTGTGTTGTGCACTTCAAGTTCCGTCAATGAAGGCTTCTCTTTTAAAGCCTGTTTTAAAGAGTTTTAGCACTTGGCTATTTTAATTGACTCTAGACTTACATTATTCTGGTTTTTTTTGTCAAGCTATAATTGGGAATGGTTCATCCCAAGGAATAATCTCGTTTCCCTTTCCCTTAAAGCTGTAGATATCTTTTTTCTGAAACTTGGTATTGAACTCTCTTTTTATGTTTAACCTGAAACCTGATGGTTTTATGCCTGTAAAACATTTGCTGTTGTCAGTCTGCTTTCCCTCTGTGTTATACTAGGTCCAGTGGTCAAAATGCATTGTTTCATGTACTTTTAAAAATCCTATTATGAATATTCAACTAAGAGGGATTAGGAAGGTATTACTTAAAAAAAATACTATTAAAATTATTAAAACTTTATAGCTCTGCATGCACCTTCTTATTGCATGTGCTTCGGTATATAGTGATGCAGCTGAATGTGACTGCCTCTAAGTCATTATTTATTCAGCTA